AGAGTGCAAAGCACTCTTCCGAAGAACCGTCAACGGGACAAAACCGGACGGTTTATAGTCCGATTGCCCTTGAATCACCCGAGACCGGACGAAGCGTTAGGACAATCGTTCCACATAGCGCTGTCCGCCCTCGCGAGGATGAGGCGTAAATTGGACGCGGATGCGACCCTCGACAGAGAATACTCTGAGTTCCTCGCGGAGTACGAGTCCTTGGGTCACATGACTCGGCTTGAGCCGATTGACCAGAATCGACTGTACATTCCGCATCGAGCGGTCGTACGCACGGAAAGTGCAACGACCAAACTGCGCGTTGTGTTCAATGCAACCAGCAGAACGGTCGGAGGGCGATCCCTAAACGACGTCCTGCATGTCGGACCAAAATTACAGAACGATATCACCTCGGTTTTAACGAGGTGGCGTCTGTATGAGTACGTTCTGGTGGCAGATATCGAGAAGATGTTTCGGCAAATCCTCGTCGCCCCACAGGACCGTCGTTTCCAATGCATCGCATGGCGCGCGTCAAACGACGAAAAGCTCAAAGCCTTCGAATTGAATACCGTAACATACGGTACGGCGTGCGCCCCATATTTAGCGATGCGTACCCTCCTCGAATTAAAGGAACAGGATGGAGAGAGGTATCCTCTCGCCGCTCCGATCCTCGAGAGGGACATATACGTCGACGACGTATTTATGGGAGCGTCCAACAAAACCCTGCTAGAGAAAATTCGCAAGCAAGTCTGCGATCTCCTGCAGGGCGGTGGGTTCAAGTTGAGAAAATGGGCTGGAAACTCCGCGAAATTATTGCGGAACATCCCCCAAGGTGCTCACTCCCACGCCGTAGACCTCACTCTGTTCGACGATTCCGAACTAAAAGTGCTTGGTCTACGATGGATCCCATCCGGAGACTACTTCCATTTCGATCTGCAACGGTTTCAACCGTCTGCGTTACCGATGACAAAAAGAAATTTGTTCTCGGAGATCGCGAAGCTCTTCGATCCCCTCGGCTGGTTATCACCAGTCGTAATCCGTGCAAAAATTCTGATGCAGTCCCAATGGCTGGAGAAAATCCAGTGGGACGACCAAATTTCCACGGACACGCAAAAAACGTGGAACACGTTTTGCAGGGATTGGAGCAGTCTCAAAGAACTAAAATTCCCGAGATGGATCCAATACGGAGCAGACGCAGTTACTGTGGAACTACACGGATTCTGCGATGCATCACTCGCTGCCTATTCGGCCGTCACTTACTTACGTGTGACGACGAAAAATAATGACGTGTTTACGACATTAATCATGGCAAAGACACGAGTGGCTCCGATAAAAACACAGTCTATCCCCGTCCTGGAATTGAATGGGGCTGTGTTACTTTCCGAGCTCATAGTGCACGTGAAACGGTCATTCCCCATAGAAATGAGCCGCATAATCTGCTGGACAGATTCCACGATTGCACTCGCTTGGTTGAAAAAGCATGCGTCGACATGGAAGGTTGTGATAGCCAACCGTGTGTCAAAAATTCAGACCATGCTCCCAAAAGCTGAATGGCGGCACGTTCCCACGCGCTTCAACCCAGCGGATCTGAATTCGCGAGGTGTAGATGCCGCAGAACTCATTCAGTCCGAATTATGGATTTCCGGGCCGAAATGGCTTCGACAATCAGAGGAAAATTGGCCGAAATCGCCAGCCTCGCTCGAGACCGAGGAGGGTAAACGCGTATCGCATACCCTCGTGGCCACTCCGGAAAAGGAATGGAACTTAGTTTTCCGATTTTCCCAATGGAGCAAGCTACAACGTGTGACTGCCTATTGCCTCCGATTCCGGAGGCCGGCGGTCGGAGAACGAAGGTCATTCGATGCAAAAGTTGTCGAAGCAGCGGAAATGCAGCGTGCAACGGAAAGAATTGCACGCTACTTACAGCGTACGCATTTCGCAGAAGAGTACCGGTGCTTGAAAAAGCGCAAGGGAATCCCTGCGACATCTCCTCTAAAGAGCCTAAACCCTTTTCTCGACGATAAGGAAGTCTTACGAGTGGGTGGAAGGTTGGAGAATGCGACGCTTGCATGGGAAACCAAACACCCGATTATCCTGCCGAAACATCATGTGTCTAACATGATAATCAGGCAATGCCACGTGGATACGTTGCACGGGGGTTTACAATTGACCATGTACACGGTGAGACAGAAATTCTGGATCATCGGCTGCCGAAACGCGGCACGCACGGTTATCCACCAATGCATACGATGCGTGAGATGGCAAGCAAATACCTCCACGCAAATCATGCAGGATTTAATACCGGAGCGCAGTCGCGCGGCACGACCTTTCTCAAACTGCGGAGTCGACTACGCGGGACCGTATCGGGTCCGCGACTCCGCCGGTCGTGGGAAAACGGCTCATAAAGCATACATAGCAGTGTTCATCTGCTTCGCTACGAGAGCCGTGCACATCGAACTCGTCCATGATTATACGACGAGTGCATTTCTGGCCGCATTAGACCGATTTATCGCCCGCCGCGGAGTTCCGTCCTGTATGTTCAGTGATAACGGAACGAACTTCGTCGGAGCAGATCGGGAATTGAAGGAACACTTCAATACGGTGTATCAAACTCCAGAAATGCGAACGAAGTGCGGTCAAAAGGGCATTAAGTGGAGGTTTAATCCACCCAGTGCTCCCCACTTTGGTGGTATGCAAGAAGCCGGCGTGAAATCGGTGAAACATCACCTGAAACGCATCATCGGCGAATTTACACCCACAAGCGAGGAAATGCAGACACTCCTCTGCAAGATCGAGGCGAGTTTGAATTCGCGACCGATCGCCGCTTTGAGTGACTGTCCCGAGGATTATGCCCCTCTCACGCCGGGCCACTTCCTAATAGGCAGACCGATGAATGCACTTCCGGTCGAGTCAGTGGAAAAGGAAAATCTCTCGCGGCTTACGCGATGGAGAGCAATCCAGAAATTCCACGAGCAGCTCTGGAAACATTGGACGCGAGATTATCTCACGCACCTCCAGAAACGCTATAAGTGGCGCACCACCCAAGTGCAGTTAAAACCGAATGACTTGGGTTTAGTGCAAAACCCTCTTCTCCCCCCGAATCAATGGGAAATGGGACGTATCGAGGAATCCTTCGACTAAGCGAAAATTAAAATTAAAATCTGTATTCTTTTCACTACGTTCCTTCCCTCACGATCCGGACCACCGTTAGGCGAGGTTTTTTCAAACCTACTCCCCCTAACAGCGTGACTTTACAGAAAACCTCGAGAACCGTGTTTTTCTGTCCTCTAATGTTTCGAATAGCGGACGCGTCGACCTAGAATCTTCCTGGTCGGTCGCGTAACCGAAAACAAACCGGGTGACGAATTGTTTCGGATTTAAACTAAATTTCGAATTTTACTCGATATTTAAACACAGTGAATTGAAGGCATTCCTGACGTCGAATGCAATCAGCAAACAAAACTCCTGCTTTATCCGCGCCACTGTCTGAAACTCCTCCACCAGTTTCAGCGCCTGCAGTGTGCTCCGAGCGACCCGAAAGCCGTATTGCTGGTCCGAGAGCCCCTCAGGCCTAATTTCTCGCTGGATTCTGCCGTTTACTACCGACTCGAAAACCTTCACCCAGTTGCTGGTCAAGCACAGCGGCCGATACGCCGAAGGGGATGCGGGATCCTTTCCCGGTTTGGCAACGAGGTCCAGCCTGCTATTTTTCCAAACGTGCGGGAATTTCCTCCTAATCAACATTCCATTAAACATACTTACTAATAATTTGCTTTCTTTTTTCAGGACCAGCTTGACGGTGCATCCAGGGATCATGTCAATACCAGGTGCCTTGTCCAGACTAACCTTCGACGCCGCCCTACGCAGCTCCACCAGGCCCATAAGAGAGAATCCAACAAGGATATCTCTCAGGTTGTACTGCAGGTAAGTATCCCTCGCTACCAGATCTTCCTTCCTTGGAAATAACGCCGCGATAACCTGACATGTTTTCTCGATGGTAAGATTTGGAGGATCAGGCCTGGGCTTTATCGCCCTCATGACCGTTTTATATGCCATCCCCCATATGTCGGTATCTACTGTGCTACACAGCTCATCCCACGCTTTTATTTTCTGCTTTATAATAGCACCTTTCAGCTTTTTTCTCGCTGCCTTAAACTCGCTTCCAGCTTCCAGGGCGCCTGGCCGCCCTCTATTTAGGGCTCTCTGGTAGGCACGTCGCACAGTGGGCCAGATCGAAGAATTAGCTGTTCACAACTATTTTAACGTTATTTCAAGACTTAAAGACCGTAGTATATAGGTCGTTGAATTTGTCTTGACGTCAGCTATAACATTATTAAGTAAAAAATATATTGTGACAATTAAAAAATCAAGGTCACCTTAATGTTTTATTAAAAAAAGAAATTCTTTTGATTTTTCATATTGGGATTTGTAGAAGAGTAAGCGGTGATTAATTTTTGGTTGGAAATATTTTTTGTCAGAGCATCAGAAATACCTAAAAAATAGCGATGACATGTAAATAATGAACAATAATTGAAAACTAGCTGTTCAGGCTTTTCAAACAAATGATTAATTTATTTATCTAAAATTTATTGTCTATGAAGTATCATCATCGTCTTGGAGGTCTTCTTTTAACATTAATCTTTCAATTTCGTCATTGAAAATATCAAAACGTGTATGTTTTTTACCAATTTTGCGGTTTTGGAATGTCTACTAATATGTGCATTTCCTCTTTTAGTTTTCTTTTAATCATCTTTTTCCTATCTTCATATTGGGATTTTTCTTCTACACTTCGTATTTGCCACTTCTTGACTTGCAGGCGGTATGAAATATGCAATATGCATTCCATGCACCTGATCCAGGCATGAATGCATGGTCGGCAACGCGTCTCGTGCGACGCAACTCGTCGCTGGAGTGCGTGTCACGCGACGCTTTAAACAGTAATAATTTATCGGGTGGGATGACGGGGGAAGTGAATCTTGCATGATTTTATAGAGAAATAACGCTAGAAAATATTCCACTTTGATAGAACGCACAACTCTTTAAAACCTTAAAGATACCCCTTGTTAAAGGTGAAAAACTTTGACGATTCTTTTTAGTTCACCGAGTATTATTTTTTTAAATAAATTATGAACAATAATTTTTAATTTCAGGTGCGTTCACAATATAGACATATGCTATTCATAAAAACAATAAATGGGTACATAATGTTTAATAGGTTTTCCGGGGCATCAATATGAAAAAAAGTAATTTTTACGGTGAAAAATGATATCTATAAAAGTTTGATTTTTAAATGCTTGTTTTAACCACAATTTTTAATAAATTTCATTAAATTCATTGTTATCGAATGTGACAGACATTTAGAAAATAATATACATTTGTTAAACATCGATGTGAGGAATCTGAGTTTTTGCCAAATAAACAGCTAATTCTTCGATCAGGCCCACTGTGCGTCGCTTCGAATTTACCGCCTTACGAAGATCGCCAATGTCCACCGACCACCACTTCTTGGATGTTCTCCTTCCCGGGGGTTGCCTGCGTGGGGCCATACTCGCTTCACACGCACCCTGAAATGCCTCGATCACATCACCCGCCTCACTATCAGACAACGGAATATCCGCGTTGATATGCCTCGTCGCGTTTCGAAAGAAGTCCAGGTACCAACCCTGGACAAAACCAGGTTGCCCCCGAGGAAAGTCCCTCCCCAAGTGAGTGGAGTATGTACTGGTGGTCCGATGCCGAATATTCGCGCAAGATCACGCTCTTATTAACCCTCACGAGAGTCCTTGAATCACAGGCCATTACGTCGATAAGTGATGTTCTCCCCCCCACGCTGAAAGGAGAATTTTCCAATAGGTTTTACACGGATAATGCCCATCCTATCGAAGGATCCAACCAGCACCAGGCCCTTTCTATCCAGACGATTTGATCCCCAAGATGGCGACTTAGCGTTAAAATCTCCCGCAACTACTACCGTCGCTCCCCACGTTCCTCTAGCATAGTCAAGATCTAAGAGTTCAGCCTCCAGCTCAGCATCACTCAACCTAGGTGAGTAGTAGCAGATACAGTGGTAAGCGCCACCTACCGCAACAGCGACAAAGCCCCGGCCCACTACATTCTTGTCCGCGAGTGCCTTTCTTCCGTTTAAGCCCGTAACCCATATCGTCACCTTACGAGACATTTCGGCAACCCAGTTATCTCTAATCGCGTATGGCTCGGAAATAAACACAATGCCCACCCTCAAATCTTCAACTGTTTTAATTAACAGATCCCGCGCTACTCTGCAATGATTTAAGTTGATCTGCAAAAGTCTAAGGGCCATGACTGATTAATTGTGGATTTCCCTTCCTCCGCAGGTATTCCTTATACTGAGGGCACGATACCGCCCCCGCAACATGACCAGTCTTGCTGTGTGGCAAGCCCTTTTTACACACAGCCTGCAGGCCGGCACCAGGGTGCATTCCTGCATACTGTGCCCCTCGCCTCCGCACTTCCGACAGATCACGTTGTCTGTAACTTTAATCGTACAGTCCGTACTTATATGCCCAAAATCGTGGCATCTAAAACACCTGGTAACCTTTGGCACAATTTCAACCTACAAACCGCAAACCCTATACAGATTCGGTCCCCATCCTTTAGGCCAACAACCCATTTAGTGGGAACCTCGACTACTGCTAATTGCCTCCCCCTGTAGGTTGGCCTTAGCGTTTTTAGTCTTACCTCATCCCTATGCGTGCCCCCAGCCTCTCCATCATCTTGCTGACGATTTCTTTCTCCTCGACAATAGGGTCCAGGTCTCTAATCTCAATTTCAGTCTTGGGCTTCAACGCCCTGACACTGAAAGACTCTCCAAGAGCAGCTTTTATAGCGTCTTTTGTTTCTGGAGCATTCCCAGCCTTCGTGAGCTCAATTAGTAGCTCCCCTGCTGTTCGGACGTTCTTCAGGTTATCTTTCATACATCCTGCAATCTGCCTGAAGACATCCGCGTAAGTCTTGCCCTTACCCGTTGAGACGGCGATCGCCTCAGTCCTGGGACCCAGCATCCTTACCTTAGGCACCGTACTTGCCGGCCCCACAACCTTACTGCCACTCTTAGATTGCGCCATTGCAACCGCAACACCACCTGCACTAGGCTTTGGTTTTCTCCGCTTATTTGTGACCGTCGCCCAACTTTCCACCTCCCTAGCACCTCCTTTAGCCTCTTCTAAGGGTTCAGTGCCTGATTGTACAGCTTGCACACCCGCATCAGCCCTGGAAACACATCCCACATTCTTCGACTTTCTGCCTTCTTCACTCACCCCAGGCCTAGCCAACACCCCGGACGCCTCTTTTCTTACATCGTCCTTAACTCCTAACCCGCGACTATCCCGTCTCCTAACCACGCGCCTGTCTTCCATCCGAAACGCCGATCCCAAGACATCCCGGTTCTCCCACAATGCCCTCACAGCACGCACATCCTTGATCCCTTCCTGGTACTCCCCTGCACTCCTTGTTCACATTCTTATTACCTTCCAGGTAGGTAAAGAGCCACTCCAAACATTTCCCCACAGCCGTGATTCCCTCAGGCATGCCACCCTCAAAGGTGCGCTCAAACTCAAACTCACCCGTTAAAGCATCCTCCCCCACTTTCTCCCCACTCCCAACACACCCACCCCCAGCCAGCTCACTCCCTCGCTGCCTTCCCTCTCCCCAATTTAGGTTCCTATCTTCCTCCCGCAGAGTAACCCTCTTTGTTTTCAAACTTCTAGCCTTCAAGCTTTCACTAAACTTTTTGTTTTTCCTTTCTAGGTCACTGCTGCCAACCAACGGATCATCACTGCCAGACTGATCTTCTTCCCCATTTCGCAGGTCAACCAGATCACCCACCGAGCCACCAGAGTCACCCGCATAACTGCCACCCAGGACCGCACCAGCCCGCACCACTGAATCCTTGCTCCTATTCGGCGTTCTAGAGGTAAGCGCCGATCTCTGCGCAAAATCCGGGGTTTCAACCCCTTTCTTCTTTTCAAGAAGAACTTCACCACCAAGGGTCAACCCCTTTATTGTCGCATCCAGCAAAGACGGAGACGTACTACCCGCCTCACGCTCCGATAGACCCTCTTCAACAGGACTTTCAACCCCCTTCTTCCTGCCCAGTCGCGCCG